ATAGTGTAGCACCCCAGAATCATAGCGCGATTTTTAAGCCCATTTGAGGTAGGACGTTTTACCCATATCACGTTGTCAGCATTGCCATAAAGAACGTGGGCAAATTCCTTGGTTCAATTTTATTAATAGGGATTTTTACAACTCTTCACTCGAATAAAATAGTAAAACAAGTGCTAGGATAAACTAAGAATAATACGATTTGCCCGCTTTGGCATCCTTTTTTTCTTATTGTCCATTACAGATCCCTGTGCTGGTTGTGTTCCGCAGTGGAGGATCTGGTCGTGGTGATACTTTATCTGGATGTGAACTGATCGTCCCTTGTGGATTCGGCATGTAGAATATGAATATTTTGTTTCGAGTCACGCTTTTTTCAAGATAATCCATTCATCTGCCTCTAATAAGATTATTTCTCTCAGGAATGGATTTCTGGGTAGCGCTGCAATTGCGAACAGCTCGTGCGTCTGGTTGGCGTGATGAGCTCACAGCTCATCTTGAAGCGTCCCGATTTTGTTTCCCGACGGATGTTGTCGATTCAGTGGCAGGGAATGAAGAAATTTTGCGGATGCAATTGGAGCACGAGGTTAATTACTTCTACATTTGTTTTTTCGCTATGGTGAATTTTGCATTCATTTTTTCTTAGGTGCTTAAGCCCGTGCCATAATTTTTAGGCAAAGTACGACAAACGACCTCATAATCGACGAGTCAATTATTGGCGGAAGATGTCTATCAAATATCCGTTCTCGTTCGAATATGCCGAATTGGTTGGAGACTGGCTGGCAGCAAAGGTTGGAGCTGTTGTTGATTGTTTTCTCAAGCAACTATTTTTTATGAAATGGTGCCCCGGTAGCGTAACTGGTAGCGCACTTGCCCGGAAAGCGAGAGGTGCGGGTTCTAGTCCCGCCTGGGGCGAAAGTTTTGTTCACAACCCAGCATTCTTGTGAAAAAGGAGTCTTCATTCAAATGTTACATGGTTTTAATGATATTCCGATGCAAAGATGGCAGAGCAGCAGGAGGTGTTGCTATAGCCTTCATTTTTCGTAACTGGGATATCACCAAAGCTAACATGTCTGTGATACCTTTCAGGGGGCGATTGTTCAATGCAAGAAGGTTGACATGGTTTGATCATAAACTGGCACACAGTGAAGTATTTGACGAATCTAAATTTGAAGTGAGATTTCACGATAAGGTCGGAGTTCAAAGAAGTGGAAATATACCGAATCGAAAGGCAGGCGGGTGCCTCAGAGGTGCGGGATGATGCGCGTTTCGCAGCGGCTCAGAAGGGCCATACCAGCACCGCTCGCGCCGCGGCACGCCCACCCTCTCGCCGTCTGACTCTAGCCGTTTAGCAGAGATGAGCGTTAGCGTTGAAGAGGGCAGCACCGATGAGAGTCGTATCAGCGCCTCAACGGGACCATTTTTCACGACCCCCCTCCACCACCATGAGACTCAGGAGGTTCACCAATAACGACCACCACTCTTCATCAGAGCTGTTACTATGGTATTTGATTCTGAGACCAGTTGACACAGCCCAACTCTTCGAGGCCCTCCTAGAAGGGGGGGGGGTCGTAAAATTTTTGAAATTTGCCCCACGTGACGGTTGACCCTGGAAGGGAGTGGTCCCACTTCTCCTGTTTTGGGCCGTTTCTCATGTTTTTTTCTTCCCTGCACCACTGCTCAACTTTACCCTGATTTTAATGGGCTGCCTTCTGATCGTAAATCTGCCTTGAAGCTGTGTTCGGAAAATTTAAGCATGCTTAGCGCTTCCACACATTTTAAATACATATTTGTAAATTTTAGTCGGTGAATGAGAAAACCTTACGTGACGTCGTAATGATGACACCATTTTTGTAGTGCCGAACGGCTGGCCTCTGCAGGATTTGCGATGTCTTTCGAACGAGAGCGCAATTTTTGGCGTGACAAATATGCTATCAATCAACCCGGCGGCAGTGTTTTTGCGGTCCTCTGTGGAAATTTGCTCATTTTTCAAGGCTGTGTATTTGGTGCTCCAGCTAGGAACTGCCTTCGAGGAAGTAGAACAGCACTGCGTTCCAGCTGCTTTATGCGAAGTGTTAAAATCTTCTGCTGTTCATAGCTAACAGTTTCTTGCCTACTTGGTGATCCTCGTGGCTGTGGTGAGAACTCGGACGTGTTGATTCACAACTTATTGTTAAACCGGTTGTGGTCTAGGCTCCCTTGGCATGAAAGATGCCTTCAAGTATTGAGCGGCTTTTTTTCATCAATTTGGAGGCTTTTTGATCCTTTGACTACCTGTAGAACACAAATATGCCACCACATTTGACGAAGTTGTTCAGGACTTAAGTACCTCTTCAGTTTTACACATGTAGAAACCACATCTCATCGAATGATGCACTTCAACCATGGAACAGAGTCTGTATTCGGTTGGGACCAAAATTGAGAAGAAATGTGAGCCCTCTTCGTATGAGCGCCTCAAGGACGACTTCTTTCCCTGCTCCACAGAGTTTTCGTCATTTTTCCGAATCTTAAAGCTGCGTCATTCATGCAGCATACGTCATAGTATCTTCTAATTCCGTTCTTAGCCATTGGAGCTGTCTTAATCCTGGAGATTGGGCTTGCCAAGTTTATCCTAGTCCTGGTCTGACTTGATCGAAAATCTTTGCCGTCCGGATTTCCGCTTATCACCGGTTGCTGTCATTAGTTAAGAATTTTTTCATGAGGCACAGTCCGCAATCAAAATTCGGGGCTATTTTGCACGGTAGGAAAGTGAATGTGCAAAGAGAAGCGGTGTAGGGGAAAATCGAAAAAATGCTCGAAAACTGTAATCTAAAAAAGTGCAAATTAATCAGTTCATCTTCTTGGAAGGTCGGCCGTGGTACTATGGGGACATAGCGCGTAAGGAAAGAGAATACGGAAGGGAGCTCACCTTCGAAAAGGCGCAGATACGCGGTCGCCGCATAGTGGGCAATGAGGGAGCAAGTCAGGACCAAGAATCGGAATCTCCGGGAAGGCATTAGCGCACTTGTCGCGCACTCTCGAGCGATGAGAACTGCAGTCGGTGATCTTCGTGGAAAGCTCGATCCTACCCACCGACACTCGCTTCAAAAGACATTGCAGGGGGTACTTTAAAGGCACAACCCAGGCAGAGGTCGTGTGAACGCTTCTCTTCGGTCTGTAGTATAGACCCCTAGAGGACAATCACAAATGTGGCGTTCTCGTGCACGGAAACCAACCGAAGAGCGCTTGGGCCTTGCAAAGTAAGCTGCCCAAGCTGCAGACTTTTTTCTCTTATCAGGCTGTTGTCTGGCGATCTCTCATCTGTAGCGCTCTCTCGCCCCATACTCTCCTCTCCGCGCTTAGTCTCTCATTCCCTTAGCACAGCCGATTAAGGTGAGTGAAGGCCTCAACTGAGTCTCCACGTACGGCTTTGAATGAACCTCGGCATATTGCAAGCTTGTTGATATTTTCTTTGAAGCTCCTCACGAGGTTGGCAAACAACTTTTATTTGGGCTTACGTTTCGGCGAGGATCGCCTTCTTCAGAGCCTGAAAGAGTCGAATCAATTTATGACTACCCGATCAAATGCCCTCAGCAACCCTACTGAAGTTCGAGACCAAAACAACTCATCACGCAATCCAAAGGAAGGCCACCTACCGTTACGGTAGCTTCAAAGAAGATATCAACAAGCTTTAACCTGAGCTGGTTTGTTGACGGTTGTGCCTTTTCTCCTTTACTCGCCTGGCCATTTGTCACCGAATACCGTCGCATTCGCTGTACAAGAGCCACACCAATGTGATCCTGGGGCATGCCTTTGAGCCTAGTTTGAGGGTCTCTCAAAGCATGTTTCTATCAATCCAGGCGTAGATATTGCACAGTTAGAATATAGATCTACGGACGTTGTCGCATGCACCATGGTAAAGATATGCCGTAAGGCTTTTTGTAGGGTCGACAACCTGTTGGACAGCCGTATGTTCTTCGAGATCGCCGCGCGTTAATGACTTTGTCACGTTGGATTGAGGGCAAGCAAAAAATTCCAGGTTAGTTGGAGTGTCGCTATGAAATGCTCACTGGTAATTTTAGATTTCAAGAGAACTGGTATGTGAATTCCAATATTCAGTTTGTTTGTTTCCGTATAAGGAAGTAAATTTTTTTACGTTTATTTCTTCTTTTTTTCTCAAAGCTTGTTGTTTCTCTACAATGTATGATTGCCGATGATTCCATTTTTCTTTTTTTTTTCTTTGTCTAACCCTTTTTTATGGGAACAGAATCAGAAAAATTGGTATACCTTCATGCTAGAAATGTTATAGGAGAAGTGTGGAAGGAAAGAAAAGGGTTGACTCTGAAT